GGACTCATAACAAAACTTGTACAAAGTGCAGGGGTCTAAGTTATGTTTTTTCAATAATTAAATAATAAATTATTCTTATAAAATAAAATATGAGAAGATATTATAAAATTTAAAAATTTCTAACTGATAATTACTTTTTTTTCATCATAACCAAATATAAAATAATTTCTATTTTTTATAAAATCTTTTCAAAATAATTTTCTCTTAAGATAATATAATTTTTAGTCTCTTATATTTGCATGAGTTATCAATCTAGTCTTTTAAATTTAATTTTTTATTATTTTAATTCTTAATATTTTACATGCTTATCTAAGAAATCCTTAATATTGTGTGAGAAATTAACACTGTTAAATTTCATTGACACGACTAACTGGATGATGATGTGGCAGCCATATAGCTTAATATTGTGTAAAGCAAGAATGCTGACTTGGATAAGGCAATTAAAAAAAAAAAGGCAACATACTCAATATTTTAAAAATTACAAAACCAAACATTGTGTCACCAATATCCATTATCTACTAGGACAGGAAGAAAAAGAAAGAGCAAGAGTGTTTGTACAAAAATTTATCACTGCTGACTCTAATGAAGCTCTCATATTAATATACATTGAGTTCTTTTTAAATCATCTTCTTACTCCAACTATCAATAGAATCAAAGAGCTTGTTATGAAAAACGGGACAATCATATTTAATTACATTTTTAAGAAAATAAATAATTACATATATTGATTGGCTCATCAAGCTTATATCAACTATTTAAATGTTTGTATTTTTAATACCCCATCATTTGATTGTAAATTTTTTTTACACGATGACACAATAAATTGTAATTTATCACAGTTTATTCATGACCTTCCTTTAAAAAAAAAAAAGAAAGAAAAATTTTCTACACTATCTCGCTTCACCAGTAAGTCAATAACCCTTAAGGATGTTCAAAATCGATACAAACTGAAAGGACCGGCCCAAACCGAAAGAAACTGATCAAAAACAAACAATAATCAAGTCTGCTTTAGTTTTTATGATATGAGAATTGATTGATTTAGTTCAAGTTCGGTTTTCAGTACTAAAAACCGAACCAAACCGAGTCAAACTTGATTAAAAAATACTATTTATTTATTTATAAAATACATGATCATTTATCTATAAGAAGCATTTTATTTTAAATTTTTTATAATAATAGATAAATATTTTTAAAAGACTTGAATGGAAATGCATAATATTAAATAATTATAATAATCATGCTATGACCATCATTTAATTATTTATAACTTGAAAGTTTCAATATTCATTTTATCTATAAGAAGCATTTTGTTTTAAATTTTGTATAATAAGTTTTTCATTATTTATTAAAATATAGATACAAAGATAAACATTTACAAAGGACTTGAATGGAAATGCATAATCTTAAATAATTTTAATGTTGAAAACTCATATCAATTTTTATGATTAATTATTGTTATCACATTAAAATTTTATTATATTTTTATATATCTGCTTATGAAAAAAAAGGAGCTAAAAAGAATTAAATTTAATTTTAATACATAGCACCATTATGAAGATGGACAAAAAGAAAAAAAATTAAATAAATATATTGAAACTTGATATAGACTTTAACCAAATTAAAAATTAAACTGAATTAAATTGAACTCTATAAAAATTAATCAAGTCTTAATTATGAATAAATTAAATAATTCGGTTTAGTTTTTGTCTAAAGTAAAATCAAATGGAGCTTATGAACACTCTCAGTAACCCTCCATCATTAGTGTTCCATGTCATCGTCTCATGCCTTGGGTTGCTGCTGTACGTCACTGTCAATCCCAAACAATGTAAAGTCGTGCCGACGTGCGCAAGTTTCCTTCACGGGTCCTTCGCCATAGCATCGTGCGAAATCATTCTTGCACTTCGGAACGCTTTTAATTGTCCTAATTGAAAATTATAAAGTACAATATACAATTTAGAAAATAGGAAATGACGAAATTCAATACACATCGACAATTAAGAAATGAAAATTCACTTACATGTGTTAATTTATTCAAATATATATTCCACATTAACAACTTAATTTACATGTCAACTTATTTTAAAGGCTAATTCGTTTTAAAAAAATTTGAGGACTAACTTGATAATTGATGCAAATATTAAGGACTGAAATGATAAAAAGTAAAAAAGGAATAAATTGATAATCCATGCAAATATAAAGGACTAACAATTATGTTATCTCATCTCTTTTTATAAAATTTCTTAAGTATCTTTAAAAAAAAAATTTGTAATCTACACAGACGAAACGGAATAGGTGGTTTTTTTAATGGGTGGATTTCCTTCATACCGTTCATTTCACGGACTCTTTGCGAATCAATGAGTATTATTCTGCATTGCAAAATTAGATTTAAAAAAAAAAGAAAAATAGGATGTCTTTTTGCCAGAATTACAATAAGTAGCTTTCAAATGGATCCTGAAAGAGACAGAAGAAGGGGTAGGAAAGTAGGAATTGGCGATGGAATAAAAACAAAGCTGGGTTGATTAATAAGAACGTAATGCCCCATAAAAGCAAATACAATTAACAAATCATTGTGAATATAAATTATTGTTTAGGTTTGCGTGTGATTTATAAATTACATTATCTGTGTTAAAATTTATATTGTATATTGAGTAATGAGTGATGTTAATGTGTATTTTTTTTTTTGGGAAAAAAAAAGAGAGAGGAGACAAATGAGGCGCCGTCATAGTGGGGAAATCCAACATGTCTGAAACAGGGCATGAAACAAAAATGGCAGGCCGAGATGAGTGGCTAAATACATATAATCTAAGATTAAAAAAACATGTCACAAAATGGTATAACTGATGTAAACAGAGACACGAGATGTAGATCAAGACCAAGATAATGATGAGTATGACGTCCATGTAGCTAATTAATTATATGTACACCCATCAAATGAGTTTGTTTGGTTGGCTCACAATCACTCTCCTATTAAAAAGATGCAATACGCAGTATCATATTTCGGTCAATTTTTGCGGGGACTTGCATTGCCCTCAGTACACTTCCATTCATAGAACTATTTTGAGGCCAAGCTTACGTGCTGAATCCAAATAAATAAAGCCATGCAGTGATTACTGATTACTTGCAAACATGTCTATTGATTTATAATTAATGCTTCACCTCGTATGCTCGCTCCGTTAAAAAATATAAGGTATTTTTTTGAGGAGTTGAATGTTTAAAAATATAAGGCATTTTAAACTTTTGAGATGCAATCATTATCTTTTTTCTAAAAGTGCTTATATTGATAATGATTTTATATTTATTGTAGGTTATTTAATAAGAGTAAATATGGCAAAATAGTGTTAGTTGGAAAGTGAGTAACTACTTTATTGGCGGTGAGATTCGGTTAAAAATATCTTATATTTTTGAATAAATGGAGTATTAAATAGGAAAAATCACGGACAAGAAAATTTTAACGACTGATAATTCTCCTAAATTAAAGTTCTTAAAAAAAAACTTGAGTAAAAACAAACGTAATAAGTTACAAATTTAAATATTACGACAGAGTTTTGTAAAAGTTTTTTACCCCAGTTCGATTTCACAGGTTCTCATGTAATATTTACAAGTCAGATTTAAACTTACAACTTATCCAGCGTGTTTTTGCACGTTTTTTTTTTTCTTCTTCAAAGGATCTGTGTTAACAATAAGTCAAATTAAGGAGATCGATTAGTAATTAACTTTCTTATCCTAATTTTCCCAATAAAAAGATTCCCATGATTCAGGGAGAAGGGAAGAAAACGGTGGTTGCGGCGGTTTTAGCATTATACACCCACCGGCCGTTATCATGAGTTAGTTTGTTCAGTGCACATGAACCATGGTTCATCCTCACGTGATCCATTTGCTAGCTGTGGTATCCAAAACCATGTACCGCTTGCATTGCAATGTATCTTGGGTCTGACTTCAACTTAACACAAGCAATAATTAGTGTAAACTGTAAACACCACCACACATCAAAATATTCGTCACAATTATTTGAGAAACTCAAGTCTTGCTTAATCACACACACACACACACATCACGCGGTCTAAATGTTCCAAGATTTTTCATATATATAAAGCAAACAATAAACAGTGAGTTGGGTTTTGTATGAGGACATCTTTGACAATGTTCTGTCTGCAATGGTGGTATCACGTCATCGTAGGCCATGAACTCGTGATTTGTGCAGATTTTCTCTGAAAACTTATATTAATATACCTTGTCTCGCCAAGGAAGTAAATGGGGGAGGTGGCACGCACGAGAGTTGAGAGACCAGGCATCAGCTTTAACTCAGACTTGGAATCTAATTTCCTCTCCAATTACCCTTCTGCCCCTCATTGCACTTTTTTTTCTTTCTTTTCTTCCTTTCCTCATGTGGAATTGCCTTAGCGAAACCTTTTCAAAAGAAGAACAATTTTATTTTATTTTAAATTAATCACCATAGACTATTACTTATTAGTGATTTCATCCCTAGAAATATTTGTTGTCGGGAATACGATGATGAATTATGGCCTTAAGGGACAAGTTATTAAACTGAAAGTAAAGATTAAGTATAATCAATCAAGCGCAACACTAGAACGGCAGGGCTATATATCCTTATGGGGAGTGCATACAGCACATTGCGTGATACGTTGGTAGCCTTCAAAACGACACGTTGGAAGCAGAGGAAAAGGATAACAAGACACGTGGAAACTAGATTGGGCTGTCTTTCAAGGTGCGAAAGAGGAAGTCTTTTTCTCCTGGGGCTGATCCGGCAAAAAAAAAAAAAAAAAAATGTCGCAGATAGCGGAGAGGGCATTCAATATTGGAATCGGTGGGTTGTTGGTGAAGAGCAGGAAGCAAGGGTAAAAACGGGAATCCAAAAAGTTGCATGAAAAAACTCGGATATTGAGGGTGGACTATGAAGACGCCTGGCGTGGTACCGCAAGTCGCAACTATTTATTACCAAAACTTCTTCTCACTAAACCCACCTCTCTGTTTCTCTCTCTCCTTGCTCTTCTCTGTGTGAAGAAACAGAGACATAATACTAAAACAGGGGCATTAATTTCTGCCGCCATGTAACTGCAGATGGAGACCAGCGAGGCGTAGCGGGCTATCTCTTGTTTTTATATATAGAGGTGCTTATAATTCTCAGTCACTGAGCTTCAGGAAAAGAGATGAAAATGGGTGGTGGTAGAAGAAATTATAGTGCATGGCAGGGTTCAAAGTCATGTTCATCTGTGAATCTTTTGTTGCTGACGTTGCCTCTCATGGCGGTTGCTGGGCTCGTTTCTGTGTGGGGTCCGAACCCCTTCGGCTGGAGTTTAGTTGCTAATCAACGTTTTTCACAGAGCTCTCTTCACCCCTCTTCTTCTTCTTCTTCGTTAACCACTGTTGTGACCACTGTGGAAATTCCTGATTCATCTGGAAAACAGAGAGAAAGGGTTCTTGATTTAAGGTCAAGAGTGGTGGTGGCCGTGGATGATGCTCACAGCAAGGAGGAGAAAGCTATCTCTGATGAGACTGCCTTCAATCATTCTTCCGCCCCTCCACTTTTCGTTCAGGCTATACAGTCACTTCAATTACCTGTAAGACCTCCGGCTGCTTTTATGAATTTTCGCTTCACTTTCAGTTCTATTGTATTCTCTGGTACTGTTGCATCAATTATTGATCGAAGCTTTCCTTTATGAATGATATCATGTTGTCATAGCCGTTCGTGTTTGATTTGATTTTTATATTTCGCATAGATGATTAATAATTTGAGAAGACTACCTTCTCTAACCCATTCTTGTGTAGTTATGTCCAGCCGCAATGCGCGTGTAGTTCACCTTTTCTCCCATTCTCTTGCCCACGATTTTGATACTCTTAGTTAAAACTTAAAACAGCACAAATACAACGCATAACAATAAGTGTCCAAATATTGTAAATCCTGCAAGAGGATTTTACCAGGAAGCATAGTGGATGACACACCTTCAAGCTTCAATTGGAGCCTTGATGTACACGAAATTTTATTTAACCTATGGGATTTTGCTGCACAACTTAACCTCCTTTCCTTGCAATCCTCACTAATTCTGATCACGGGACATTTTGAACAGAACAAAACAGAAGAAATCCTCAACATTTCCGGCAGGACTGATCCAATGAACGAATCGTATGTTCCTATCGTGACACAGAGGAAGGAGAGAAAGATCAGCGTCTTAGAAAGAACAGAAGGTAAACTCATACAAGCTCGAGCAGCAATTAGAGAAGCCAGAAACGGAAATCAAACTCAAGATCCAGACTATGTCCCTATGGGCCCAATGTATTGGAATGCCATTGCCTTCCACAGGTAACTCGCGCCCTCTTCTCCTTTTTCCATGCGAACCGTAATGTTCTGTTACTCTGAGAAACTGCCGATTCCACATGAGTCGCTCCTTGTTATTTGCAAAATTGCTTGTGACAGAAGCTACCTGGAAATGGAGAAACAGTTCAAAGTGTTCGTGTACGAAGAAGGAGAGCCACCAGTGTTTCATAACGGACCTTGCAAAAGCATATACGCCATGGAGGGCAACTTCATCCACGCCATTGAGATCAACAATCAGTTCCGAACAAGAGACCCAGAGAAAGCACACGTGTTCTTCCTTCCTTTTAGCGTCGCAATGATGGTTCAATTTGTGTACGAACGCGACTCTCGTGATTTTGGTCCCCTAAGAAAAACTGTCCGAGACTATGTAAATCTCATTTCTTCAAGATATCCCTATTGGAACCGAAGTGTCGGAGCCGATCATTTCATGCTAGCTTGCCATGACTGGGTAACAACTTCACCTGACACGATACAAATCTAAAAATTTGAAGCTGTAGTAATTATTGAAGCTCGTGTTTGTTCTGTTTCAGGGGCCAGAGACTTCATTTTCTGTTCCTTACATGTACAAGAACTCGATACGTGTGCTCTGTAATGCCAACACCTCGGAGGGGTTCAATCCTGCGAAGGATGTATCTTTTCCGGAGATTAATCTGCAAACTGGAACGATAAACGGGTTCGTGGGTGGGCCGTCTGCTTCTAGACGCCCAGTTCTGGCATTCTTTGCAGGAGGTCTTCATGGGCCAATAAGGCCTATTCTTCTGGAACATTGGGAGGGCAAGGACGAAGATGTTCAGGTTCATAGGTACCTACCAAAGGGGGTGTCGTACTATGAGATGATGAGGAAGAGCAGGTACTGCCTTTGTCCTAGCGGGTACGAGGTAGCAAGTCCGAGGGTGGTGGAAGCAATCTACACAGGGTGCGTGCCAGTGCTTATTTCAGATCATTATGTGCCTCCATTCAGTGATATTCTGAATTGGAAATCGTTCTCGGTGGAGGTTTCTGTGAAGGACATACCCAACTTGAAGAACATACTAATGAGCATCTCAACGAGGCAGTATATAAGGAAGAAGAGGAGAGTAGATCAAGTTAGAAGGCACTTCGAGGTTCATTCTCCGCCTAAGCGATTCGATGTGTTCCATATGATCCTTCATTCCGTTTGGCTTCGAAGATTGAACATCAAAGTTCACGATGATCATTGATCAGTGGCTCATGACAGTTTCACATTGGCATTTTGTGATTTTTTTTTTAACGTCTGGTATAAAATTGGATGGGAAAAAACATTTCCGCTTCTTTATTGGATGCCCATGCTTATTAATTGGACTGTATTAATGTGATTTTTGTTGTAAGCCATTAAGAGCGAAGACTGTAATAATTAAAAAGAATTTTTGTGTAAAAAGAAAATATCTAAAGGGATCTTGCCCTACAAGGTAGTGTGCAGATAATAAGTTAAAATAATCAAGATAAAATAATTAAAAATTATGAAGTTAAATAACATAATAAAAAATGATACAGCAAATTTAACATGGTTTAGCAAATTTAACATGAAAAACCTTAATGTGAGAGATAAAAAATTCATGGGCAACGAGCAAAGAATTTTATTATAAAAAATGAAAATTACAATCATTATTTTTGTTATGGATGATATAGAGAAATGACATATATAAAGCTTTTTATTAGTTAAAAATATTATTCTAAATAATAATAAATATCTCTTAAAATCTAAAATAGAGATATGATAAACTTAAACTAAGATAATATATAAAAATAATTACAAAATATTATATAGATTCGAGTCATAATCTCAATATACTTTTCCTTGACTCAAATTCAATAATACTCTTCATTACCAAATAACCCCAAAGAGAGTTTAGTGCTGCAAATACTAACTAAACCCAAGCAATATTCGAGCTTAATGTTAAGAAGAGGTTTCATCAGCATGTTTGCTGAATTTTGAAATGTGTGGATTTTCTTTGCAATAACCTCACCAATTGCAATAGTATTTTTGATAAAGTGATATCTAATATTTATATGTTTAGTCTTCAAGTGATACCTGTTATTCTTAGTCAAATGAACTACATTTTGATTGTCACAGAAAATATTAGTAACTCATTGGGCAACATCAATTTTAATAAGAAGAGCTCGCAACCAAACAGCTTCCTTTATACCTTTAGTTATTACTATATATCTTGCTTCAATTGAAAATGATGCATAAATAGATTGAAGAGATACTCTTTAGTTAACAAAAGAGCCACAAAGGGTGAAAATATAAGTAGAAAGAGATTTTAGTCAATCAAAATCAAGACCATAATTAGAGTTAGTACGACCAACAACATCATTAGATACAACTTTATTCATGTCAAATACTAAACCAACATGGAAAGCACCTTTTAAATAATGGAGGATCCATTTAACAATATCCCAATGACCCTCTTTAGGATTATGCATCTATCTACTTACTGTACTCATTGCATATGCAATGCTAAGTCTAGTGCAAACCATAACATGCATAAGACTGCTAACAACACTTGAATAAGGAACTCTCAACATGTTCTTCATATCTTTCTCGAACTTTGGCAAAGATCATAAGATAATTGAAAATGATCGGCAAGAGAAGCAGACACAAGCTCACACTCACTCGTATTAAATCGATCAAGTATCTTCAAAATATATTTTTTTTAAGATACAAATAATTTACTAGCTTGACGATCTTTACAAAATTTTATCCCAAGAATTTTCTTTGTTGTACCAAAGTCTTTCGTATCAAACTACTCACTAAGTTGTTGTTTTAATTTGTTAATCAAATATTTCTCTTTGAAAGTAATAAGCATATAATCAGCATAGAGCAGCAAATACAGAAAGTACTCATGAGAATATTGTTTAAAATAAACACAACTATCATATTTGCTTGTATTGAAACCTTGCCTAATCATAAAAGCACTGATCCTTTTATACCACTACTTATAAGCTGGTCATAGGCTATATAAAGATTTATTCAAGCAACAAATTCATGAAGAACCACAAATCCCTCAAGTTGCTTCATGTAGATCTCTTCATCAAGTTCTTCACGTAAAATAGCTAGTTTAATATCAAGTTGCTCCAGCTTTAAGTCAAACAAAATAACAAATGCAAGTAACGCATAAATAGAGGTGTGACAAACAATTGGGGAGAAAATCTCATTAAAGTCAACACATTCCTTTTGATTACACCCTCAAATAATTAGCCATGCCTTCCACCTTGCATCCTTAATCCCAAGGATATTATCTTTCTTTCTTTTTTTCATATCCATTTACAACTTAAAGCTCACCTGCATTTAGGAAACTTGTAATATCTTCAATCCACTAAACATAATTAACCAATATAGCTCTTGATAATCAGAGACTTAACTTAAAATAATGATTACCAAGGTTTAATTCAAAGATAAGCGATCCCAAGTTTTTTAAATAAAAATGAGTTTAAATCAATCAAAATCTTTCATATTAGAGTAAAAATAAGTTGCGAAAGGATACCTTAGAAGAGTGAAAGAAGTAAAAAACAGTTAAAAAAATAAAACATATGCTGTGATATAGGGTAATGCACCTCTATGTACCAAGCGTCGCGGCTCAAGTGTCATGTACTGCGATGTGTTGCACAAAAATTTAATTGATTTTGCTGTCATTTGACAGCAAAATTAGAGAACTTCTGATGCACTCCGTTCGACATCCAAATGACGTGATCTAGATGTTTACGAAAAGCTCTTTACATGAACTAGCTAATAGCATAGGTTTCACTTTCAAAACAAGTCACATTAGGAGGTTGAACATCCAAATACATTTTAACCACTTTTCAATATTTTTACACGAAATGAGTGTCCAAAACTCTCAACATGTGCCAAAAGCTTTTCCTAACACCTGGACTCAATCCAGTGGACCTATAACTATTAGTACAACAAGTCATAAGTACTAAAACAATAGTATAACAAAAATCTACTCCTTACCTCATTTTACCAAAAATAGAAGGGGAGGTAAATTGTCATTGCATTTCGCCTAAATCATTCAAAATATGTTCAAATCATTATTTCTACACTTGCACTAGTATTTTAGCCTTATTAACAACATTCATAAAGACTCAGGGTCTAAAATACAAATCTAACATTTCTATCAACAAAAAAGCGCAAGTGTGATAGCATGCATCCTAAAATTAGTAAATATATACTATTACACAAAATAAACTAAGCTAGAGGCATACAGAAAGAAATATGTTAATTCCTAACCTCTTTAGCCTTCTCCCTCTCACCACTAGAGCTAGATCCTGAAAAATGTTAAATGAAAGGGATGAGTCCAGCTACTTAGTAACTAAGGTTGAACCTACTCTATGCAATTATATATCAATCATAAACCAAGTACATGTATAAGGAATCAAGTATGTAAAACAAGCTTATATATATCATAACTTGTCATTTATCATTAAATAACTTATTTATCTCTCATAAATTAAGTGCATTATCACCATATTCTCATATATGTGACATGACCCATTATTCACGTAACTTGCCACCACTTAACACCTGTGACACGTCATATATTTATTCAGGCAATGATAAACCAACCTTATATCTTTTTTAGTTTTTCAGATCGAAACTACTGGTTACAACATTGATTAGGGCTCAGTCCGTGTGACTAGACTACTTAAGCTCACCAATCGTGAGGTATGACCTGGCCAAAGATCACAAGACTCACTTTCGAACCACGGCTTTCCCTGTTCTTGAATCCCTAAGGTGTCTCATACCCTATGCTATTCTTCTCATTGAACCGGTAGAGATAGCTAGGTTTTAGCTCCTCGACAAACTATGGGACAGTCTCTCGACAAATTATGGGACAAGGCTACACCCCCATGCATCGGAGGATAGCTTAAATATTATATGATTTTTTCTCTACTCCCAATCCCTAGGCGGACTCTCGCCACTGATCATGTCAAAACATACTTACTCATTTTCACATTTTTATTTTCATTTACTCATTAATACAATAATCACGTTAGGCTCACGATCATGCACTATCCAAGTACATATTCTCATCATTTTCTGAACATTATTCTCACTTATTTCAAAAGCCACTTCTCATTAACACACAATTACCTCTACATATCATCACATTAATTTTTTAAAAACATAAGCATGTTCATAGTCAAAAACCCTCTTGACTTCGCATTTTTCATTTTCAAGCCAAAAAATAGTATTATACACATTCAATTTTTCATACACTCATTGAAACTAATACATGATTTTACATTAAAAATCAATCTCATGCATGTAACATTCACAATTCACATTTAACAATCAGTTAACAATTAATTAACATATAACTACCCAAAGTAAGGTTCTCCTGATTACCTCAAACCTTTAAGAGGTTAAAGGTTTATCCCTCAATCTACTAGTTTTCAAGCTTAAATTTTCAATCTAATATGTGACTAAGAGCCAAAACTACAATCAACCAAGTTGAATTTCATTAACATTACCAACTCAAGCATTTAAACCCTTAATGCTCTACTTTTAAATTGCCCAATGTTCACTCTACATGAGTTGGAGCTCATCCATTATATTCATTATCTATCTACAACATCATATAACTTCATGAAATAGCCACATTGCCGTTAATACATCAACAACTACAATAATAACAAATTTAATGTCTATTTTTGGACATTTATCTTACGCGAACTTGAGATAAAAAAGAGAGAAAAGAAAGAAGAGAACGAAGAGGCACCACAGCTCATGGCACAGAGAAATCCTCCTCGTATCTAAAGTGTCCATGTGCCGCGGTAGACAATCTTCACACCACAGCGTGTGGCACAGAAATATCACCCTTTATTTTTCTTCAAGTTTTGATGCCAAGGTGGCCAGCCTTGATATTAGACCTACAATTAGGGCTAAAATACAATTAAATATGCTTATTAGACCTCCATGGCCACACACTACCTTAGCTTACTTAATTACCCTAATTAGATTTAATTAACGGGATTAAAACTAGGATGTTACAAAACTCACATAAGTCTCATGTACCATTCTTGTGAAAACTTTCAATTTATTCATGCTAGTAATCATTTAGATAAATTAGCACAAGAAATAGCTTCAGAATATCTAGAAGGCTCAGCACCTTTAGGAATTTCTTGTGTAATAAAAAATATATAAGTAACTAATTCATCATCAATGTATCAAGCAGGCATTTTAATATTCTTTTTTGGACGATCTTAATTAAGCAATAGAATATTCCTACACTTAATGGATGGTAAGAGTGGTGCTTGTAATGTCATCATATATTTGATCATAACTTCCTCTATCGAAGCTATATTCCATAATAAAGGGCTTGACTTGCCCATAGTTAGTTTTAGTCTAATTTTGTTTGAGCTTTACCCATCTATATACCAAAAAAAAAGGAAGGAATAGTAGCTCTCACCCCTAACTCCACTTTTTCACTAATATTTTGCTTATTACTTGCACTAGTATAAGGAGAGACACAACAATTTTTTCTAAAAGAAAATAATGCATCTTCATCAAACGTAACGTTTTTGCTAGAAATAACTTTTTTCATAGTAAAGTTATAACACCATAATCAATATCCTTTAAATTCACATGCAAATTTAAGAAATATTCATTTTGTAGCTTTTGCAACTAATTTACTGTCATTAATATGTATACATGCAAGACACTGAAAAATTCTTAAATTATAATAATTAACAAGGTCACCTAACATGTAGTGAATGTAGCTTTAGCATATAAATCACGTAGATACTATAACCCATCATTACAGAGCAAGCATCATAGTCTCTCAAGTAGAGTTCTTTTAATACATTCTACCATGTCATTTTGTTGGGGCTTTTCTATAAGTGTCTTATATTTAAAAATGCCATTATTATGATAAAACTTAGTAAAATCATTCTCACAAAACTCTAACACGTTGTTTGTTCTCAACTTTTTAACCTTTCTTCTTGTTGAATTCTCACCTAAAAATTTTCACTTTTAGAAATAAGAAATAGCTTCATTTTCATGCTTGAGAAAATAAACCCAAACTTTACAAAAATAGTCATCATATAATGACATCCTCCAAGTTTTAAAATAAAGATAAAAATTTTCAATTTAAATCAACATTCTCAAATTTGATGAATCAAAAACTTGTGCATCATGAAGTGCAACATTAATTAAAATCAAGAAATTGACCTCATAAAGTACTTGTGTTTAAGAAAGAAGTAAAAAAAATGTCAATATAATGTTAAAATAAATGACAAAAGAACCAACATTGATTATTTTGACAACAAAATACTTAAACCAGTATTGATTTTTTAGGGAACACAATTTGGAGAGCCGCTCATACTCAAACTCTTTTTCTCAGGACTTATCAGAGTTAAGCTTCGAAGCTTGATTTTTCAAAAAAAATTTAATTTTTCAAGTTTAAACCCTTATTTAAACTGACACTCCAAGCCAATTCCTATTCCTGACTTTACATTTAAGGCATTGTTTGGTAACATGTTTTGGAAACATTTTTCTATTTTTCAGAATAAAAAAACAAAAGAAAAACTTGTTTGGTAATGTTTTAGAAAGTGTTTTGAAGAATAAAAAATCAAATATTATTCTGGAAAATAAAAAACAAAAACCTATTGTTTTGAAAATAAAAAAATACTTATTTTTATTTTTTTTTAAAATATTTTATAAAATATTAATTTTTAAAATAATAAAATAAAAACAGTTTTGAACAAGTAATGAGTTTCTACTCTTCCGGTGATTGCGGAAAATCAAGCCCGTCCACAGGGCGGGGAAAAAGTCCCCAGGAGAAGATGCCTCGACTAAAATGATGCTGTGCTGCAGACGATCAACTCAGCCGCTTTGACTTGTCCCTTAGCCAAAAGATGCCACATCACTGCACGCGTAAACCACACGCTTTGACAATGTCTTAACTCAGCCGTTCCGAGCCTTAGATGTCACAACCCAGAGGCATCCCCTAGAACCGTGTCACATAGTTTATGAGCTTGGCTGACACGTGTTCATTCCCACATCCCAACACGTGGCACTTCTGCTTTCATTTCATTACGCGTGTCACAACCCCCTTAATGGTTGGCGCTTTATATATTAAACCTGAAGCTGCTCCCTCCCTCATATACCAGCACCATAAGAAAACGAAATCCAACGCTTGAAAGTAATATCTGTTTGCTTGCAGCGGGTGAGAAAGCGAAAAGGGAGAGCAATGGCCTCAAGACAATTCGAGGAAGAACGAGCTGAGGCAGCGGCGAAGCTTGCCGCTAAAGATGTGGAAGACGTGAACAGAGAAAGAGTTCGCGAGGAAGGGAATAATATCAGTTCAGAAAGGAGATTCAGGGAGGAACGTGCGGAGGCAGCCTCTAAGTTAGCCGCAAAGGACCTCGAAGAAGCCAACAGAGAGAGGCATGAAGAAGCAGGTCATCGATACAGTGACCAGCAGAAGCCTGGCGTTATAGGGTCCATGTTAAGAGCAGTGCAAGATACATACGAGCACGCAAAGGAAGCTGTGGTTGGAAAGCGTCATGAGGCTGGCGAGGATAAAGGAGAAGTGAGAGACATATCAGCTGACAAGTCTCGTGGGGTTTATGATTCGGCGACAGGGAAGGCTAAGGAGTACAAGGATTACGCTGCAGAGAAGGCGAAGGAGACTAAGGATGCGACCAAGGCAAAAGCTGGAGAATACACAGATTACTCGGCTCAGATGGCCCAAGAAACAAAGGATGCAACCAAGGAAAGAGCAGGGCATGCTGCAGAGAAAGCGAAGGACGAGACAATGCAGAAAACAGGTGAGTACACAGACTATGCAACCCAGAAGGCCAAGGAAGCTATGGACACCACGATGCAAAAAGCAGGGGAATACAAGGAGTATGCATCAGAGAAAGCCAAGGAAGGTAAGGACGCTACTGTGCAGAAGGCAGGGGAGTACAAAGACTACACAGTTGAGAAAGCTAAAGAAGGGAAGGACACTACCGTGGGGAAGCTTGGGGAGTTGAAGGACTCCGCCTCGGATGCCGCTAGAAGGGCTATGGGTTACTTGACCGGAAAGAAAGATGATGCTAAGCAGATGGCTTCGGAGACGGCGGAATCGGCCAAGAATAAGGCTGCTGAGACTGCGGAGGCGACCAGGCAGAAGGCTTCGGAGACTAGCGAGTCGGCTAAGCATGTGGCTAATGAGACGGCGGAAGCGACTAAGCAGAAGGCACAGGCAGCCATGAATAAGGCCGGGGAAACCAAGGAGGCGGCCAAGCAGAAGACCACAGAAGCGACGGAAACGGCTAAGAAGAAGACTGCAGAAGCCACCGAAGCAGCCAAACAGAAAGCTGCAGAGACAAGAGAGAAGACCAAGGTCTCGACTAATGTTTACATTAATGCATTCGTTTTATACTTTTATATCGCCTGACTCTTGTTGTAAATGAGAATGGATGTTTAAGAAAAAGGAACGTGAAATGACGCGACGGTGGACGTGCAGGAGAAACTGAGCGGAACAGAGGAGGAGGCAAGGCGGGAAATGGAAGAGTTAAAGCTACAAGGAAAAGACCATGGAGACGAAGCAAGCCGAAAGGCCAATGAATCCAAGCTCGAGGGTGATCGGTAAGTATTTTTATTATTATAACTTTTTTTTTGGGGGGGACAAGAAGAAGAAGTATGGTTTAATATGTTAAGCATAGAACAGGGGGATAATGGTTTGATCGTTAATGACAGAGAGAGGGAAGTGAGGGGGCAGAAGGTGGTGATAGACGTGAGAGAGAGTCGGCCAGGACAGGTGGCGACGAAGCTGAAAGCATCGGACCAGATGGCTGGCCAGACCTTCAACGACGTGGGACACTTCGGTGATGAAGGCGTGAGCCGCTCGGACCGCCGCGAGAAGATGTGATCCTGGCTGGCCAATGCTAGTGGATTTATATTTCAGTATATATATATCTCAATTAATGCAAGTTGTTTGCTATGTACTCCAGAATGGACTCTAGAATGGACTCTCAAGTTAAAAATATGAATTCCATGAAGTTTCTCTTTAGAATATAAAAAATTATATGATGAGAGAAAACATTAAAAAACACTAATAGAAAGAGTAGCCCTTAGTTTTCTTTGCCATTGATTTTTTTTTTTTAAACAGAGTTTTCTTAGCCAGAGGCCCTACGCATGGGCCTGAATGAGTCAAGAGCAAAAACGAGTGGACCTCTCTGCGATTGCCCCCGCTTAAAAGGCCGTCGTTCTAGATATTGTGGTTTGACAGTTCCCATTTACGATGTTTTTGGGGCATTCGCCGTCTAAATTTCTATTAAAAAAATACAACGAACATATAATATAATAAAAAATTATACATTTAATGAGAATAAAAATAAAAATTCTATCATGTAGTTTTTTTTTTTTTGGCCAACAAATCTATGTAGTTACATCCATGTAATGATGGGTCATGCGGGGGAAAAAACCGAAAAAGCAAGAGGCATAGTGCGGTCAGAGAGAAGCGGCATCCTCTTGATTAGGACTGCACTTTAATCTAACCCAGAGTTTAATCCTTTTTATAAAAAGAATTGGGTTAGGTAACCTCTAATACGGTCTGGTCCTATAAAAATTTAAAGATTAACAAGACTGAACTTGATCCATAGGACTGGGAGACTGATCCTGTTAGTCCAATACTCATTTGGCCTTTGTTTTTTTTTCTCTATGATGACCAATAATCTATTTCAACTTAACAAACTCAATTAAGATAATAAAAACACTTATAATCATAATAAATCCATAATAATTTTTAACACCAAGAAAATAATATTTTAATTACAGTCCAAACTCCAAATGATTTAAATACATAAATACATAACTTTAATAAAAAATCAGAGGAAAGATCGAAAATAGACCAGAGGAATAAAATCAGCAAGAACAGAAGTAATAAAAATCAGTCCACAAACATGTTCCTTCAAAGTTCGAATAGATCAAGATCAGAGTGCAAAGTGCAAGGCAGGGGCTAGGGCTTTGGCGCACAGAATGAGAGCAAAGTTGAGTCAGTGGCTGAGACGCTAAGTGCTGCTGAATAACAGTGTTGAGATTTTTTTTTATCAGAGTGCAAAGTGCAAGGCAGGATTAAGACTTTTTTTCTAAGGCTTATTAATTAATAATTTATAAACTAATTTTAATTATATTAAAATAATGATATAGGATCAAACTGGACCACTTAGTCCGGATGCTTGGTCTCTAGTCTGATCTTACCCGAAAAATCAGTTCTGTCTTTTTAATCTTTTTAGTCCTATAGGATCAATATTTTACAAAACTGGACAAGACTGAATTTTCATGGGTTGGATCGGACCGAACGAGACTACAAGATTTTTGCACAGCCTTACTTTTGATTGTCATTTTATGCATTTATCGTGAATTAAGGATGAGTTTGTTTACCTTTTTTTTTTTTTTCCATTGGAAAACAACTGACATCTTCTAAAAACATAAACTTTTACTATGTTTTCTAATCTTTATAAAATGGAATGAGAAAAGTACGCAATAAATCAATTTTTAATAAGATTTTTAAATATCTAAAAAGTAGTTACTCCCTCCAGTTCAACAAAATTCTTATTTTCATGAAGGTACTGTAATAATTCTTGTATTGTGTATAAATTTAAAATGGAACCTAAATTTCTATATACATACAAATTACTTAAACTATTTTTCCGGTTGAAAATTATATTTTAGTATAGTGTACTTTTCAAATTTTTAATTTTATTTTGATTTCATCACATTAAAATTTTTAAACTGTAAATCACAATTGTTTTTTTAGAATAACAGAGAAGTCTTAAGAGAACTAATTAATTTAACTTAGATCTCAAGTAACAAATTTTGACAAACTAATTAATTTAAATTAGATCTCAAGTAACAAATTTTGACACTCAATTTTACAATTTCATTCTGATAAATTTATAATTTATGTTTTAAATTGTAACAGGGAAAACTAATTTGTTTATTGTTTAATGATGTTAAAATTTTAAAAAAATAAATTATAAATTCATTTCAAAATTTTTTAAAGTTTGACATTTGAGACTTAATTTAATTTAACTGAACCTCTTCAAACTTTTATGTTATTCTCCTTTATTTCTCTCCCAGACCTTGATTCAATGGTTCATACAATTTTGCAAATTATCGTGGGTCAAAGTCAAACTTGAAACACTATCTGGGATGGAAGTCAGTGTGGGGATAAGCTTTAAAAAATGGTGTCTGTATACCATGAAAATGCTTAAATAAAAATTATTTAAATGTGTGATTATGTTTTTTACAGACTATAATACCCTTGTTCTAAAAATGAAAAAATCTTTGACTGTTTTCTTTTAGGCAAAAAAATAAGAGAGAATTTCAGTCAAACATCGTGGAATAAAATTATTAACCAGTCAGACCAAAAAAAAAAATCTAAAAATGCACTACAAAATTGTGGAACTAAAATAAAAATAAGATTGAAATCTAAATGACTAAAATACTCTTGAATTGAAATGAAGAAGAGAGTCTGCAAAATCCTTTCCTCCACAATCTTAGAAATGCTCTGACACAAGTGAACTTCCCATGCACGTCCCCCCCGCCATTGAACACTATCTTCGGTAATTAGATCAAAACCTATTCCTTCACTCTCCTAAGACAAAAACACCCCTTCCTCTGGGAATTGGTGGAACATCACTCAACCTTTCTGGAGAACCACCTTCCATTGAATTGTTGTGATGGGTGTGTTGAAACTTTGAAAGGTTAGTGTGTAGAACCTCAAAAATCGCTTAATATTTTGGTGAACGACAAAGCCGAATTTTTTATGTGTTTGTTAACCCTTGGTGTGTTTGTAAACATTTGTTTAGGATGCAGAGAAATAATGCGATAAAGGAGGAAGCAAATGAGAAATTGCATTCCCTGCAAAAGTTTAAGAAAGAATTCTACCGAGATAATTAGTACAAGAACATGCGTGATGGAACCAATGATATGGTGAAAACATGGAGCTGCGACCTATTGACAGAGAAAGAATATAGAAGGGTGCAAAATATAAAATGATTGTGGCTATCTATAATGTAAATCTACTTGTCTATCCTGTAATATAAAGTTGTCATTTTCCTAGTGACTATTGTTATTTATGTATAACTCCTTCCCCTTGTATTATATGTTTGCATCTTGTTTACTAATATCAAATTTTGAAAGGATTCTGAGTTTTGCGAACAAGCATTACCATGAATTTAACAAGTAATGTTATTTTTTAACTAGTAATATAATGGAGTTTACTAATAACATAATGGATTTAACACAAGTTGACAGGTAAAATAAGGGAATTAATCGGATTGCTGTTATTTATCATGAGTTAGATAATTAACAAGTAATATGATGGAGTTAATAAATAAAGTAAGGGAATTAATAAATAATGTAACGTTTTCAACCAATACAAGTTAATATGTCGATTTAACAAGTTACATATTTAACTAGTCTTGACAAATTCACAAATAAAATTATAGATTTAACGAGTAATACAAGAGATTTAACACGTAATGTTATGATATTAACCAGTTATGTTGAGGATTGTACTAGCAATAGTAAATACTAAAAAAAAAACTAATTTTCTATTTCACTTTTTATCCTAAAATTTCCTCTCAATTATCATTACTTAGCAATTTTGATATATTAAACATTTTACTTATAAAGTTGGCCATTTAACAAGTAATGTTTTGATTTGTTCAAGTACCATTACATACTTAATGTAATAAACTTGAAATCTCAATAATTTTATAAGGATAAATTAATAAATTAGAGCATTTATCAAATTAATGGTGTTTTCGAATCACTAATAAGTTTGTTAGATCTTTGAACAGCCTTAGAAGTGTAGTAAGATGAAACTTTGGTCAACCAAGCCCAAAAGCAAGACCAAATTTTAAGGTGGCCGTGCTACGTCAGTTGCACCATGCGCCATGACAAATGAGATAAATTTTTGTCAAATCTGTTGCAAGGCTAGTTCAAAAAAAATAGAGAAAAGAGGAAGAATAACACAAAAAGATGACAGATAAGGAGTATTGTGCTACTAGAGCTTCAATCTTTAACTACTTTGGAGGCATTTTGAAGTTAAAGAATAAATTGGGTAAGCTTTCCATCTATTCTCCCTCTCCCTTATTCAAATTTTATCATGTTTTGGATAGGTTTGGATGATGATTTCATCTTCCATTAGATTATGGCCAAACCTATTGAGTTCTTTGAGTTTATGGGAAGTTAATTTAGTGCTATATAGGTTTATGGATGTTAAATAGTAATGGCGGAGCCAGGATCCTTGACCAGAGGAGGTGAAATCATTTACATATTCATAATTTAAAAAAATAACAAAATTATTTAATAATCACATGGCTTACAAATTTTTTCTTAGTGGTTTTATGTTTTGAAATCGTTGAACAATCAATTTATTGTTAATATTTTTAAATACATCTTTTTTAATATAAATCATGAGATAACCATTTATTCATGAATTTCCATTTGACTGCACAACCAATTTTTTACAAACTTTATAGCAAAAAAGGCTATTTCAACTGTTGCTGTGGCAGTAGGTAACACCATTGTTAATTTTAAGAGAAGGTAAATTAATAGATAAACAATATATCTTCTAGTTTCAACTTATATTTCTGCAATTCTAATTTGAGATTTCAAACAATGCGGGGCAGATTATTTTTTTTCTTATTTTCTTAAAGGTCTAATAAATGTTAATTTTTTATAAAATAATATTACTATTTGGATCTATTAAAATTGTGGGCTAAAATTTATTGGGCTTTTAAGTTAACAAAAATAATTTTGGATTTGAGTTTAAAAGTAATATAAAATGAGTTTAAAATGCAAAATATAAAAAAAAGAGGTGCAAAATATAAATACCTATATCCTCATCCTCATGTAAGTAATTTTTTTCTATTTGAGAGGGGTAGTGCAAAATATAAAAAAGAGAGGTGTAAAATATAAATACATATACCTTCATCCCCATGTAAATAATTTTTTCATTTGGTGCCCCCCTCAAATGCATGTGGCTCCGCCATTGT